GTTGCAGGAAGCATTGCAGCTGAAAACAGAGCACAGGAGCCTGTTTTCGCTGTCAGAGCACTCGGGCCACCAAAGACACAGCCGACACAAGTGATGTTGAACTGGCCACGCCATGCCACCACCCCCTGCCCCCCAGAGGGCAAACAGAACCCTGATGTGGCCCTCAATGAAATTGAGTTTGACACCCCTAGGCTAAAGGGTTGGTGTCACCCAAAAAACTTTGGATTTCTGGACCATGGTCTGTACTATCTCCATGATGGGCTTTTGGCAAGGGATGGGCTGCACCTCACAAAGACTGGGAAGAACGTTTTTGGAAAACGACTGGCTCAACTTATCAGGAGGGCTTTAAACTAAAATTGAGGGGGGAGGGTGACCAATCTTTAGGGTCTCCAGGAGCTAATTCCAAGCAAAAACCCCTAGAAAACAAGTCAAATAATGAGGTAAGGAAAGATGGGAAGGAAGACAAATTCAAACACCAAATAGAAGACATAGAAAGCATACCCAGAGTTAGACATAAAGACCTCAAGTGCCTATATACAAATGCACAAGGTTTGGGGAACAAACAAATTTGAACGATTAATACATGTAGCTGGAATTACAGAAACTTGGTGGGACGAAACCCATGACTGAAACAAACTGATGAAAGGATACAAACTGTTAAAAAAAAACCCAGACCCCATAAAAGAGGAGATGGACTTGCACTGTATGTATTATAAAGGACTATTAGATTGCTACATAAATGCACAAAACCAAAGTTGAAAACCTTCTAGAATGCATATGGTTCAATCTAAAAGAATAAAAGAATGACAATGCCATGAGTGTATACTACAAGCCACCCAACCAAGCAGAAAAAAATAGATGTACTTGTTGCCAACCTACTAACAAATATATGGATTTGTTAAGTCTTAGATCTTAAAAGAGCTGATTTTAATAATCTCAGAGAACTTGGAAAAGATTCCTTGAATGAAAATCCTAAAGGGGAAAATAACTCAAGAATCTTGGGAAACTCTGAAAAATATGATCATAAAAGCCCAGTCCAGTACAATACCACTGAAAAAGAAAAGCAAGAAATCCAAGAAGAAACCAGCATGGTTGCATAAAGATCTCTTTAACAAATTGAAAGAGCAAAAGGAGAAGTACAAAAAATGGAAGGAAGAACACATGGGTAAGGCAGAATATCAGCAGACAGCCAGAATCTGGAAACACAAAGTCAGGAAAGCAAAGCTAAGAATGAACATAGACTTGCAACAAAAGTCAAAGACAATTTTTAAAAGTTTCTTCCAACACATAAATAACAAGAAAAAAAAATCAAGGAAACAGTTGGTCCACTAAAGAGAGAAGATGACAAGAAAGTAACAGGCAACAGAGAGAAAGCAGAGTTCCTTAACTCATTCTTTGCATTGGTCTTCATGCAAAAAGAAACTATAGTCCAACCTACCAAAAACATAACTGTAAAAGACAGACTAGAAATAAAAGTTAAAATAAGCAAAAAAAAAAAAAAAAATAGTAAGAGAACACCTATCTGATCTTGATGAATAGAAATCACTGGGACCTGGTGGATTATATTCTAGAGTTCTAAAAAGCTGGCAAAAGTCATCTCAGAACCACTGTACCACATCTGTCAAAAAATTCTGGAGCACCCAGAGGACTGGAAAAGAGTTGATGTGGTTCCCATCTTCAAAAAAAGGAGGGGGAAAACAGATGCAAGAAACTACAGACCAATCAGCCTAACATCAATACCCAGGAAGATCCTGGAAAAGATCATAAAAAAACAGAACTGCCAACATCTAGAAATGAGTAAAATAATAACTAGAAGTCAAGGATGGGTTTGTTAAAAACAGATAATGCCAAACCAATCTTATTTCATTCTTCAACATAGTGACTAAATTAGTAGACCAGAGAAATACTGTGGACATAATACTTAGACTTCAGCAAGGCATTCAACAAAGTGGACCACAACCTACCTCTTGGTAAGCTAGAAAAAAGTGGGATAGATAATATCACCATCAGATGGATTTGTAACTGGCTGACAAACCGTACTCAACAAGTAGGCCTTAACGGTACTACATCTACATGGAGTGGGGTACCATAAGGTTCCATCTTAGGCCCAGTGCTCTTCAATATCTTCATAAATGACTTAGATGAGGTAATAGAAGGAGAACTTAACAAATTTGCAGATAATACTAAGCTGGTCGCCTGCCTCATTTTTGGTAAGTTGCTTTTTTATTTATGTATTTATTTACTTTTTTACTATCTGTTTTTGTTTTTATTAATCATACAAACAAAACAGATACTAAAGAAATAAATAAATACATAAATAAAAATTATTTTATGATTCATCTTGATATTTCTTTCTCCTTTGCTTAAGGAATCTTTTTTATAGACTGTCATTTTCAAATCCACTTTCAGTTCCAACTCAGTCTTGTCTGGTGAAACTTGTTCCTCTTCCATAACATCTTTTAAACACTAATTAGCTATAGTGTCAGGGACTCTTAAAAGTAATTGAAGTGTGTGTGTTTGTGTGTGTACGTATGGATATCAAAACACCAAAAACAGGCCAAGTACCTCTGTGGAGGTCAGTTGTAAATTAGAATTGCTAAGCAACTGGCCACTAAGTGGGGACCTGGTCATTAAGCGAGGACCACTTAAATTTGGGTTGCCGGCCACATGGCCATGCCCACCCCAGTCACATGACCACCTAGCCACACCCACAAATTAGGCCACGCCCACAGAACCAGTTGTTAAGAAATTTGAATCCCACCCCTGGAGGTGATCAATAACATTTATAAAATATTACCTATATTACTATCAGTAATGCATCTGAATTCTTACAGTACTTAGTCATAATCAAACTACAATTCTATTAACTAGGAGGTCAGCAAGTCTAATTAAGTTCAGCTTACCTATATTTATTTTATTTATTTGATTTGCCAATTGTTTACAAGATAATAAGTATAAGTGTATACATAGTTGTGAATACATGAAATGGGTACATATAAGAAAAATAAAAGTTATATTAACTGTAGGAGTTGGAAGCTTGGTGACAGCATAACTTTGAAGAGGCAAACCAAGAAAACTTTATTATGTATGTTTTTAAAAACACTAGTCTTTTTCCAACTGCTAATTTAAAGTCACCTGGATTGAAAAATCTTTAGTTGCTCAACTCTTTCAGATAATTCATCTTCTAAAGCTTCCATAGCAGATTTAGTGTACAGTACTATGTTCATTGGTGAGTGAATAGTGTTGAATATAAGAATGTGTGTGTGTGTTTGTGCTCGCTCACATTTTCAGCAAACTGGTTAACGTAAATGCTGCCCACCTCTGGCCTGATGCCTTGCTAGGTTTCTGTCATCAAATGGGAAGGGAGGGGGTAGGCATTTTGGGCAATCCACAGCTATGTGTCAAATGGTGGAAAACGGGTGGTGGTGGGGAACGGGAGGGGGAAATGACAACGGAAGAAGACCAGATCACCAAACCGGCAGGATCTTCAAGGCCATTTGCCCTGAGAATGGAACGTTACTAGTTTCACACCTCAGTTTCTCAAAACATCTTACTGGCATCACGTTGGCTGGCCAGCGGACTGATTATGAGGGAAAGGATTGGGAATTGGAAAGAATAGCTTTGTATTTTGCGAGGGAACACCAGATTTTGCCTGACTTTGCTGCAACCAGTTTCTTTCAGCGAAAGTTCCTTTGCTTCAACTAAATGGAGCCGTGAGTCCTACTTTCCTGAAACTGCAAACTGACTACAAAGATGGGCTAAAATCATATATTTTATATCCCAGCTTTATTTTTATGATTAAGGCAGTGAGCATATCCAACGCATACATCTTCCTCCTGTTTTTCCCATTACACCCATGCGAGATAAGTAGGACTGAGAGTAAGTGACTGGCTCAAGGTCACCAGCTGGCTTTTATGGACAAGGCAAGACACTTCAACTTATTGATTCTTGCTTTCTAACCCAGTGCCTAAACCATCAGATCAAACTGGCTCTTTATTTATTGCCTACTTTTGAAATATGAGTTGTATCCTGAACTACACACCTGGTAATCTCCTTATCCCATTAAAGCACGAAATAGATGTGATCCCATCAGGGTTTCGAGCCAGGAGCCAATGCATGAAGTAGGCAATCATAGTAGGCAGCTCTGTCATGCACAGATTCCAGATTACTAGTTAGAAGCTTTGTAGGGAAATCTATTTCATCCATTCTCTCTACTTGTGTTGGGGAATAAAAAGAGCCTTAACCAAAAATCCCAGTAGTTTTGAATCCCATTTTAGAATGAATAAATTTTTCTCAAGCTTTGCAGTTTTACGATGTGTGGACTTCAATTCCCAGAATTCCTGGGCTTGGGGATTCTGGCAGTGAAATCCACACATCTTAAAGTTGTCAAGATTGAGAATCACTAAGCTAAATTATAACATAATTTTGCTTGGTTTCATTTGAGGTCTTAGAGGAATTTCTCACCGGTTTATCCCATAAATCCTGAATAAAGGACACAGGCTGAATGGAACAAGATGCCATTTGCTACAAAAAGCATCATGATTGCCTTTAACCATTAACCAGTGGAACAGCTTGCCTTCAGAAATCGTGAGCGCTCCATCACTGGAGGTTTTTAAGAAGAGACCAGACTAGAGAGTCATTTGTCTGAAATAGTATAGGGTTCACCTGCTTGAGCAGGGGGATGGAGTAGATAGAAGACCTCCAAGGTCCCTTTCCAATTCTGTTCTAGTCCTATTCCAATTTCCATTCCGTTACTTTCTATTGAAAAGGGATTCAAATATCCCGCTTTGGAAGAACGAGTGACGTCTCTTTGCATTGCTATCAGGTCGTAAGTGTCGGAGGGGGAAAAAAAAAACAACCTCCTGTTAAAGCACTTGCGCCTTCCTGCTGCTGTGGCTGTTTTCGCACTCCCGCTCAGCCTTCCCGCTCTGGGTTAGGAGTAGTGGCAGTGTGGGCAGAGCGTTGCGCGATTTGAACCTTCGCTCTTCCCGTACTCGCTCGGAACTCTTTTGAGGAAGTGCTAAAATGGCGGCGGGAGGGGAAGTTTTGGGAATAAGTAGCAGACGGTGAGTTCCGAGGGAACCCGGGATATTAATGACACGGGTGCCACAGTTTCATCTTCGATTAGGACAGAGGCGGGAGGTGGGGCGCGGAGGCTGCTGAGGGACCCCTGTCCTCTTCCGGCTGCCATAGTTTTTAATGTGCCTCGTATTGGATGGGGGATGATTGCCCCACCTGGCGTTGGAAAAAAAAGGCCATAGGTCTTCCCTCTCAGCCTCCTGCTTCATGCAGCGATTGCGTACCCGCTGCTTTGCAAGGCTATTTAGTTTGCCGGCAGCAAATAGTCGGTCAAGCGGCGAACCCGGGTTGCCTGCCCACCCACCCCATTAACTTGCCATTAACCCCATTTCAAACTCTCTTAACTTCGTTAGGAAATCGAAATTTCCCCCCCAATAGCATTAAATAGGAAACACGCTTGGTCGTTCTCCCGAATACTTCGTGCTGCATGTTAAAGATGGGATAAAACTGATAAATGTTTAAAACGGCCAAGGCTTTAAACGTAAAATGCTGGGTCATTTGTGTGCAGAAATAAGTAGATTGGTTTTCTTAAGTAACCAAAAAAATAACCATCATTTAGGGTTTCTGGGACAAAGGAGCAACAACAGCAGACTGTCAAGTTTTGAAAATAAAATGTTACTGAGATAGCGTCTCTTTTCCTAATAAACCAAAGTGTATGGCTATCTACATTTTTGCATAGGAATGAGCATTTTGCATAAACTCTATGCTTTATTCTTCCATTGTTTGCATATAGAGCCATCTGTTTCTATATGCTGGAAAGATTGAAAAAAAAAATAGTTAATAACATCTTCATTTGAAATCATAGGTAATAATCTTACAATGGATTTAGATGTTATCCAATAAATCTATCAATTCCAGTGGTTAGAATACAGTACTGTAGATGAGGACTCGGATTATTGGGGGTAATTAATATGCAGACTTTGTAACTGGCTTAGAGAGGGCTGTAAAGCACCATGAAGCAGTATATAAGTGTTATTGCTATTGCTATACAAAATTAAAACAAAACTGAAAAATAGTAGAAAATTCAGTTGACAGATAATAGTTATAAAATTGCATTTACTCAAGAGGAGTTTGCTTTTCTCTTAGGAAAAAAAAAAGTCCTATATTCGTGCTACAGCTTTCTTACCCTGCCAATTTATAGTTGCCAATACCAACTAAAATGAAATCTGGTGATACACCCTCCTCCCAATAAATAAATGTGCATCTGGTGTACTTGTACTGTGTATAGCCATGCTCTAAAAAGAACAAGCCCCAGTGCAGAAATTATATAATTATATTATATATTAAAATTGTTTTGGCATAACAGGCAAGTGCAACTTACAGAAGTCAGGACAGGTAGTTTCAGAGCTTATTTTTAAGGGCTTAAAGGTATGAGATGGATGTACAGTACAGGGCTTAAACTCAACATTGCCCCACAAATCCCTTCCAAATAGAGTACTGCAAAAATGATTTTGAAAAATGACCCTATATTTTTGGCTGTAACAATATCAAAAGGCCTAGGTGGTATAAACATTATGCTGGTGAGCTACGATCTGTCTATATGATGCATATTTACATCTTGTATTTTGTAAAATGAATTAATATACCATCAGTATATGTACTAATTTTAGTCATACATACGGAGTTACAAGTACAGAGATTTTTATTTTTCAGTGCTGTGCTTGACTTTACACTTTTACAAGTTGGGTGATCATATAAATACTTCAAATATATAAATAAAGATCCTACACATTTTCTTGAGTGGAAATAAGACTAGGTTTCGGAAATGTGTGACAACTTTCCCATTTCATATATGGAAGAGTTTTTAAAAGAATAGCAAAATCAAAATAATGAGAGAAATGGCAAAATCAAAATGTGAGGGGGACAAAAAGTAGAAATAAATGGAATCTTCAAATGCCTAGGAAGGACTAGGACTTGGCTTTTCCTGCTTCTATTTCAACAACATTATCTCTCTTCTTCAGTAAGAAGAAGTTGACTATTGTCAACATATGTAATTTGCAGGGTCAATATGTAAAATAAATTCCCCTTTTGGATTCATATATTATTATATTAAGATTTTAATACTGTATTGCCTACATTATCTCTTGCTGAAAAACGATATGTAAGGATGTAGACTTACTATATCTGTTTATGTTATACAATATATTATTATTGTAAAATTATGTTTGTTTTTCAGACATTCAGTAGTGACTGATCATTATAAATGAAACAATACTTCAAGACTGCTTATGCATCATATTCCTTGGATGAAATTTAAAGATTTATATTCTGTAAAGTGGATAGAATCCCTACCAGTCTGCTTACATGTGTAGATCATTGCGTTACTGTGTTAGCCATTGTCTGTATGCAGCAATGACAAAACTGGAAGAAGCAAATCGAGAAGTGAACATGCATTCCTCTGTCCGCTACCTTGGCTATTTAGCCAGAATGAATTTGTTGGCAGCAATATGTATGGGTCTTTATGTCAGGTGGGAGAAAACTGCAGATGCACTAATACTCATAATTTTTATCCTTGGATTATTTGTTCTTGGAATTGCAAGTATACTTTATTACTATTTTTCAATGGAAGCAGCAAGTTTAAGTCTCTCTAATCTTTGGTTTGGATTTTTACTTGGCCTTCTTTGTTTCCTGGATAATAATTCTTTTAAAAATGATGTAAAGGAAGAAGCAACAAAATATTTACTTATTTCCTCCATAATTATAAGAATATTGTATGCTTTGGTGCAGAGAATATGTGGCTGTGTTCATCATCGGCCCATTTTACTAACAACGGTTGAAGTACTTGAGCTGGTTGGGTTTGCAATTGCCAGTACAACTATGCTGGTGGAGAAATCCATGAGTATTATTCTATTAATTGTGGCTTTAGCAATGCTGATTATTGATTTGAGGATGAAATCATTTTTGGCAATTCCAAATTTAGTAATTTTTGGAGTCCTTGCCTCTTTGTTATTTTTTCCATCCTTGCATATACCAACAAATCCATTTCCCTTGGGATGTTTTTTTAGTTGCCTAATAGCTGATCCCCTTCTTGATGTTTACTTCAGTGGACTTTCAGTTACGGAACGTTGGAAGCCTTATTTATATCGTGGTCGAGTTTGCCGGAGATTTTCAGTCATTTTTGTTGGATTTATTGAACTGATTTATTTCATCCTTTCAGCACTTAAACTAGGTGATTTGGATCTCTGGTACTTTGTAATACCAGGCTTTTCCATTTTTGGCATTTTCTGGATCATCTGTCACATCATTTTTCTTATAACTCTCTGGGGATTTCATACAAAACTTAATGACTGTCAAAAAATGTATTACACACACAGACCAGACAACAATAGCCTCGACAGAGTAATGGCATCTAAAGGAATGCGGCATTTTTGTTTAATTTCAGAGCAACTTGTCTTTTTCAGCCTTCTTGCAACAGCGGTTTTGGGTACAGTATGTTGGCAGGTAGGTTTTAATATTTTTATAGTCCTCTGTCAAACTTTCTTTAAAGCATGTGTACCAAAAGGAGATTATAAAACAATTATGGTTAAGGCTTTTGACAAAAAATAAAAGCAGGATAGAATATTATCCCTTGAAAAGGATCCACCATGCTCTGTTTATTTTATTTTCTTTATTTTATTTTTATCCCACCTTTATTACTGTATAGGTAATTCGAGTTAGTAAATTTGCTAAGTACTCATTTCTCCTGTTTTTTCACACAAGAACTATCTAAAATTTTCATTCGGCTAAAAAAAAGGACAATCCTTTTTATTGAGTGGGCTGCATTTTATCATTTGACTGGTGGGCAAGCAACAGATTTGGTGACTATAATAGTCAGTGCTGAAACTTTTCAGCTGATGGGGAAGGATGTTTGGGGGATGAATATTTACCTTCTGCCATTAATTTTAATTTGTTAAGCTACATTTGTAGATGTACATTGCTATTATATTTGATGCTGATTAATGACCAATAAAGATTGAAATGAGTTATTTAAGGTGTAAATAGCTGTGTTTCATTTTCCAAGTGCCTTTTATTCATGGCATCATTAGTTGCTGCCATCCTAAAAGTAATGAACATGGAGTTCATGTATTGAGGTTTCATATTCACATTATGACTTCTCTTACAAGTTCTTTTACAGAATGCAAAATAGAGTTGGAAGGGACCTTGGAGATCTTCTGGTCCAACCCCCTGTTTAAGCAGAAGACCCAATAGCAGGGATCGCCAACCTTTTGGGCCTCAGGGACCACCAAATTCATAATTTTAAATCCCGAGGACCAGAGACACTGGGAAAATCCCCCCAAAAAAAGTCTGCAGGAAAATTTCCCACCCTGTTTTCCTACCGATCAATAATTCTTTATTTGGGATCGCAGGAGACCGTCTCCAGCTCCAATCTCGGGGAGAGAGAGAGAGAGAGACTTTTGGCTTCATGCAAGGAAAGCAGCAGAAGTCTTTCTCTCCCCCAAACTCCACCAGAATTTAGTCTTTGTGAGACTTGTTGCGCCGGCGCAGCCTCTTGGAGCAGGATGCCTTGCAGGGTCCCAAAGACTCATTTCTGGCAGAGTTTGGGGGAGAGAAAGAAAGACTTTTGCTGCTTTCCTTGCATGCAGCCAAAAGCAGAAGAAAGAAGTGGAAAAAAGCAGCTCGGTGGCCAGGCGAGGTACGTGGGGTGAGTGGGGCAAGTTCCCCCCTCGGCCCTTTCCCCCATCCCCTCACTACCTCATGTTGTTCGCAATGCAAGCAACGCAAGCCTTGTGTTCCTGTGGGCCATGTGGGTGGCTCAGCCTTATGTTCCCATGCAGACTGGATTAGTTAGTTTACTTTATTGTCATTGCACCTCGTACAACAAAATCAAACACCACCTTCAGTGCACTTCATGACCATGAAAATAAACACAAACACACATCCTTCACACTCTACGTTAATGGCTTTGGGGGTGACATTTCTCTGCGGACCCCCCAAATTTTCTCGTGGACCACCAGTGGTCCCCGGCCCACTGGTTGGTGACCATTGCTCTATACCATTTTAGACAAATGGTTGTCCAATCCCTTCTTAAAAGCCTCCAGTGTTAAGGAGCACCCACAATTTCTGAAGGCAAGCTGTTCCTCTGGTTGATTGTTCTGTCAGGAAATTTCTCCTTAATACTAGGTTGCTTCTTTCTTTGTTCAGTTTCCATCCATTGTTTCTTGTCTTCCTTCTGGTGGTTTGGAAAATAGATTGACCCCTCTTTTTTGTGGCAACCCCTCAAATGTAGTATTTTCTACAACATACACACATAAATGATCCTTTAGCACAACACAACACAAGATATGACCAAAGTCTCTCTTCTTTTTTTAAAGTAAGCTAGTTATTTTCATTTGTTCCCCTTTATTTTTACAGACCACCTGTGAATGTCACCTCTTACCTCCTCTAACAAAACAGGAAATATCTTTTAGTTCTGTTTGTCTAACTTGGATGGTTAAAGTTACACTACTTTTAATTTCTCCTTGAAAGATAGATGTGTAAACCAAGTTGCCTTCAGAGCAAGATTTCTCTTATTTAGGAAGCAGCTCTTTAAGATTCTCTGTTGTTTTTTTTCATCAACCCTGGTCCCCCTCAATTTGCTTTTAGCCACTAAATCTTCACAATTAAAAATGGTTTCTATTAATTTTCTTATTTTTAGCATTACTTCATTATATGTACAAGGACTAAGACAGTTGAGGCTGCCACCAATAGTTTTCAGCTAGGGAGAATTGTTAAATTGTATTGCAGCTGCCTCCTAAGTCACCAAGAAACAGGACAACTGTCAGTTAACTGGGTGACAGGGAAAAAAAAGAGTGTATACTTCTTTCCACTGCAGTGGAATTGTTCATTAATTGGCTTAAATTATTATTCCATGAAAATGCATATTTATATAAGAAATATTAATACTTTAAAAAATCAGAAATACAAAACATAGACCTAATGTAAATATTTGGTTGACTGTGCATATACTTAATAAGCCTGCGCAGCTATATTTTTTTAAAGTTGTAGTGCATACTATTGAACCTTTTGGGAGGTGAGGAAGTTAGGACCAAATTCAGAATTAGCATCGTTAAGATTACAGTATTGCATTTGAATCATGTTTAAAATATTGTGATTTTAAATGTTATGTATTTTCATTCACATTTGCAAACTGGTAAAACTGTAATTGTATGTATTTAATTCTTACAACAAATTCATTTGTAGAAATCCAATGGAATCTTCATGAGTGTTTTCTTGATTGTCTTGCCTCTTGAATCTATGGCTCATGGGTTATTTCATGAACTAGGAAATTGTTTGGGAGGCACATGTGTTGGCTATGCAGTTGTGATCCCTACCAGTTTTTGCAGGTAAGTGTTAATACAAATACATGTTATTTAATACACAGTATTGCAGTCATCCAGTTATGCTAATTTATCTACTAGATTGCATTTTTCTCCTTTACTTATCCTAATCTGAGAAGTTGTATATGTAACATTTAAGGAATCCATAGGAATGTGTTGATTTGTTATTAAAACTGATGTAGTGAGCACTTTAAACTTTAAGAAAGAAAACAGTGATGATGTTAATTGCTTTTTGTTCTGAATAGAATTCTTCCTAATGGCAAGTTCAAGTCATATTTTTTTAATAAAAGAAACAGCATTCCAAATGAAGTTCTATCACTATTATTTCTTTCCTTTGGAAAACATCTTCTGTTCACACCGATTTGGCTGTTTACCTGCTTTCTATAATAGTTTTAGATTTGGAAAGTTTGTATCTGTAACTGTCTATCAGTGCTTTATGTGCATCTCATCTGCTTCGGAGATGAATGGGTTGGAGAGGAGTGATGAATGAGTCTAGATATACAGAAAAGATTCTAATAACCCCTTGAATTATCTGTCAACTAAAACTGATAAAAAGTGTCGGGGAAGTTTCTTCAAGGTCATAGGATAATCGGTGCCAATGTATATCTGCTGATTACAGCTAGGTTTTGTTGAAATGGCTAGTAATGTCTGAGCAAAACCACTTCACATGTTTGCATGTTCATCTACCCAAAAGTGTGCCTCTTTATAAATACTGAGTTTCCCTGAAAATGCAACCTATCCCGATAACAAACCACAACCCGATTTTTACGCCTGTACCTAATATAAGCCTTACCCCCAAAATAAGCCCTAGTTGAGCCCTGCCTACCATCTGGTTGTATGAGGTGGGGCAAGGCACAGACATAAAAATCAAGCTAAGGCAGAGGGTGGTAGTGCTGCCCCACATGGCCCGTACCCGCTTACTTTAGGACCGCCACAGCTTGACCTTTTTTGCCCCGACATCTATCACGCCACTGCCTGACTTCTGCAACTACTTGCAGCCAGATGCCACATGATACCTCGTGCCAGTGCCGCTACTTGTGGCAGGATGCCGTGTGGCTTCTGGTGCCACCATTCATGGCAGAACATCGCGCGGCTCGTCACACTGGTGCCACGGCTTGCACATGCAACGGCACAAGACCAAACAGCGTCCTACTGTGAGTGACGGCACTGACGCAACGAGCCTTGGGGCATCCTGATGTGAGTGGCGCCACTGGTGCAGTGAGCCATGTAACATCCTTCTGTAAGCGGCGGCACCAGCATGATGAACCACACAGCGTCCTGCCGTGAGTGGCACCGACGCAACAAGCCATGTGGCATCCTACTGCGAACGGTGATACGAGCGTGATGAGCCATGCAGTGTCCTGTTGTGATGGTAGCATTAGCGCTATGAGCCTTGTGGCATCTGGCCGCAAGGGGCCGCAGAAGTCAGGCAGCGGTGTGACAGGTATCAAGGTGTGGCTGCGGTGGTCCTAAGGTAAGCAGGTAAGACATTCCCTGAAAATAAGACATGCTTATTTTGAGCATGAAAAGAAAATAAGACCTTACTGTCTTAAAAATTATTCCCGTTGCATATGCTATCAATGAGATATAGAACTTTTCCATGGTTTAGGCTGCTAATTTAAGCTATTTGTAACTGAACATTCTTGTTTTAAATGCAGTTACTGTGGTGAATTATTTCATAATACAATATTAGATAGTAAAGCAACTTATAATAAGTTGTATTTATTACAGTGTTTTAAATTTTTCTTCTATTTCTTTCAGTCCTGATGGGCAACCAACATTGCTTCCACCTGAGCATGTTCAAGAGCTAAATTTGAGGTCAACAGGCATGCTTAATGCTATCCAAAGGTTTTTTGCATATCATATGATTGAGACTTATGGCTGTGATTACTCCACAAGTGGACTTTCATTTGACACGTTACATTCTAAACTAAAGTCATTTCTTGAACTTCGGACATCAGATGGACCTAGGCACGATACTTATATATTATACTACAGTGGTCATTCTCACAGCTCTGGGGAGTGGGCACTAGCAGGTATGTACTGAATATTTATCAAATTTATAAATTGCCCATCTCACTATTTAAGTGACTCTCAGCGGTTCTCAAGTAAAAAAATTATAAAACCCCTAAAATCCCAATAAATGAAGTCAAAAAGATGGAGAGAATGCACTCAATCCACAACCTGAGGTTGTGTGCCACTTTTGGATCCCTGTGCCAATTGACAGAGCCAGGTCTTAACATTCATTGACAGAGCCAGATCTTAATATTGTGTTTCTTTCATTTATACAACTTTAAAACTCATTTAGGCTGTCATTTTCTAGGACAATTTTAGTAATCTGTAGTAAGGCTGAACTATTTTTAAAAAATGCAGTATGCTGGAATATTAACAGAGCAGCTATTTTCAAATTGGTAAAGCAACGATGTTTTTGCCAGGGTTCCACAAATTGTTTGAAAGCTATCCCTGCCACTCTCTGCAGGTAGGTGCATGACATTCATTCATTGGGAACTTAAAAGCTACTTATAAAGCAGTTGTGCATTCACATATATTTGGAAACTGCTGGGAGCAGTTTTGAAAACAGCCATGTGAAATATGGCAAAAGATGCGGTGATTTTAATGATTCAAAGGGTGGTGCTTAATTTCATTTGTAATCTCATGCATTGCAAAGTTCCTATTCTTGGCAAAATATTTTGGAAGTGGTTTGCCATTGTCTTCTTAGAATTGAGAGTCACCCAGCTGGTTTTATGCTTAAGGCAGGACTAGAACTCATTGTCACCTGGTTACTAGCCTGATGCCTTAACCACTGCACCAAACTGGCTTTTACCTATATAAAACTCATTGAAGCGGATTTATATTTTTCTCAGGATCATGTGGTTGCTCTCCATTATTACTGCACAATCTTTGAAAAAGGCAAATATTTTCCTTGAAAATCAAAATATTATTTATTTATTTATTATTATCTATATGTATAAAAGCAAAATACCACTCACGTGTCATCACAAAATCTCCAGAACCATAAAGCCTACAAACTTGAAATTTGGCATGTATGTTCCCCTTGGCTTCTAAGTACTCACTAAGAAAGGATTTTTCGAAATGACCATCAGAGCATTAGTATTTCGTATATTATTAACACGCTCTAATGCTAAGGAGTTCTATTCCCCTTCCCCACCTGAAAAGAAATCTGTTCAAAATGCAAAACACAAGCAGAGGAGCGGAGTTTCAGTTTTAGTTTCACAGCACTTAGCAGCCTTAGTACAGAACAGTTGAGCTAAGCCACAACCAGGCTCCTTGCTGTCTCCTTGCTCATACAGCAAATACTGTTTCAGTTTCCAAACAACTCTCAACTCTCTTACACACTGACAGGGCAGTGGTCAGATGAATAGCAATGGATGCTGGTTGGTAGAGGCAGAATTTTTTTCTCTTATTTTTCTCCCCAAAAACTAAGCCCGACCACATACTTTCGTAGTGAAGCACAGGCATCTAGCTAGTTTAATATATAAAACACAAAGAAAAGTAGAAATAAGAAATTAGGGGAAGGAAAAAGAGAGAGGGGAAAAGAAAGTGTGAGGTACAAGGGAAAAAAGGACAAAAAAAATTCATAGTATAAGATAAAAACACTCCAACTTTTTTCTTTTCATTATAGAAATTAGCCATTTCTATAATGACAAATCTAATTGACAAAACCAAAGTCAAAATTTCATTTTCATTACAAGCACAAAATCCAGAAGTGATATGCACTTTCTCCTCTTTGAATAAAATGATCAATTTCTGCTTTATCTTCCCTGCTATGGAAATAGTACGTATTTTTATTTGCACCAAATAATCACAAACTATCACCATTTTTATTAACAAGGTTCACAATATTCTTTCAGATCCTTTGATCTTACAAGGAAATTTTCTTTTTTTAATCACCCTTTTTAAAATGCTAAACTTTTCTTTAAACAAATTTCTCAAATCAAAACTTTCTAATACCTCTTTAACTTCTTAAAGGGGTGTCAAACTCAAGGCCTGCAGGCCAAATCTGACCAGCAAGGTGGTTAGATGTGGCCCACAGGGCTGCCCTGGAAACACCGAAGGACAGGCCTGTGGTGGCCTGTCCCAGGCCAACTGGGCACTGATCTGTCTTAGATCTGCGGGGCTGCCTTGGCCCAGGCCCCTGGGTGTGTGCACAGGAGGCAGCAAGCTCTAGTGCCTGGTATCCCTCGGCACTATGTTCTGAGTGCTTCCTTTGACCCAGAACGGCAGCCCTCCTGCACGCGCCGCCTTCTGCGCGCATTCCTGGTGGGTGGGGCTTAGGCAGTGTCACAGATTTAAGGCTGGCCAAGGTACGGCCCAGATGGCTGCCACCAGATGGCAGATCAGCGTCTCCATGCCCTGCTTGCCGGCCTTTCACTGGGATCGCCGCACCCTTGTGTGGGAAAGCCACGCTGCAAATCCAGGATGCTACTGGTTCGGCCCGGTTCTGTAGAACCAGTAGCTCTGAAGACCAGCAGACATCAAACCCGTTCGGTGTCTGCTGCTCTGTTTGGCCCAGCTGCCCGCCCGGGCTCTTGGCTGTTCTTTATTTCCTGCTTTTTGAACCTCAGCTGTTTTGCGTGGCACAGCTGAGATTGAAAAAGCTGGAGAGAAGAGTTTGAAACGCTGCACACTTGCGCGCAGCACTTGTCAGCTGCCGGGAAGCATGGCTGAGGGTTTTTGGAAATGGTCTACAGATGCGCGCAAAACGCACTCTCACCAGGGGTGGGATTCTACCTGCCGGAGAACTGGCAAATCACACCACTGTCTGGCCCCGCCCCGCCCACTAACTCCTTACCTGGCATGCACACCATCAAACTTGCCTGCTAAGTTGCTATTTTTCCTTTTTTCCCCCTGTCCATCAGCTGTTCTGCTGTGCCAGGAGATTTAGATTAGCTAGAAAGCAGGAAACCATTAGATTTCTTGCTTTCTAGCTAATCTTTAGAGCAGCGGTCGCCAACCGGTGGGCCGTGAGAAAATTTTGGTGGGCTGCAGAGAAATCTCACCCCCAGAGCACCCCTCAAAGCAATTAATCCAGGCTGCACAGAAACACAAGGCTGCGCCGCCCACATGGCCTGCAGGAACCCTCCCTGCCCACTCACTCCTTACCTGGTAAACTTGCCTGCTAAATTGCTATTTTTCCTTTTTCTGACCCATCATCTGTTCTGCTGTGCCGGGAGATTTAGATTAGCTAGGAAGCAGGAAATGGTTGGATTTCTTGCTTTCTAGCTAGTCTTTAGATCTTCGGCTCAGCACAGCCAAACCTCCCTTAGGACTGAAGGTTTGCTTGCAAGCAAATTCAGTACAGACTCACGGCAAGCAAATTTGAGAGACTGAGCTAGTTGATGGCTGATAGATAGATCACTGAATGATTCTGTGAGCAACTCAATCTGCCTGCTTTGCCTGATTTTGGGTAAAAATTGCTCTTTTTTATAAAAAATTCAATATTTACATGCATGGTGTGTTGTGAGTTAATTTTGTGAGTTTGCTTGCAAGCAAATTTTATGTGACAGACAGAGCTAGCCAATGGCAGATAGATAGATCTCTGAATGAATCTGTGATTCTGTGAGCAACTCAATCTGCCTGCTTGCTTTGCCTGATTTTGGGTTAAAGTTGCTCTTTTTTTATAAAAAAAATTCAATATTTATATAAATATTTATAATATTTACATACAAGCCATGCCCAGCCAGTCACATAACCACCAAGCCACACCCACAAATTAGGCCACGCCCACACAACCGGTTAGTGGTCCCTGGGATTTAAAATTGCGGGTCCAAAAGGTTGGCGACCCTTGCTTTAGAGAGCCAAACCTTCCTTAGGACTGAAGCTTCTATTATTCAGTGCAAGTAGCCGATGGCAGAAAGATAGATCTCTGAATGAATCTGTGATTCTGTGAGCAACTCAATCTGCCTGCCTGCTTTGCCTGATTTTGGGTAAAAGTTGCTCTTTTTAAATAAAAAAATTCAATATTTACACACATAGTATGTTGTGAATTAATTTTGTGAGTTTGCTTGCTGGCAAATTTTTAGTTTAGTTTACTTTATTGTCATTGCACCTCGTACAACAAAATCAAACACCATCTTCAGTGCACATCATGACCAAGACCATGAAAATAAACACAAACACACATCCTTCACCCTTCATACATTGAACTGGAAACCCTCGACACCACACCAACACTGCACTATACAGCAGAATTCAAAAGAGCTACTGCCCTGGGATAGAAGCTGTTTTTCAGCCTATTTGTCCTTGTTTTTATTATTCTGTATCATCTGCCAGATGGTAATAGTTCAAAAAAGGATTCCCAGGATGAGATGGATCTTTGAGAATGTTTTGAACTTTCTTAAGGCAATGGGAGTTATAAAGCTCTTCCAAAGAGGGGAGAGGGCAACCAGTGATCTTCTGGGCAATGACATTAACCCTCTGGAGTGCTTTCCTATCTGCCACTGTGCAATTAGCAAACCATACAGAGGTGCAGTATGTTAAAATGCTCTCTATGGTGCAGCGGTAGAAGGTCACCAGCAGTTTTTCATTCAGTTGTTGTTTTCTGAGAAGTCTCAGTATAATCTCTGCTGGGCCCTTTTGACCAGGGCTGAAATGTGGGCACCCCAGGTCAGGTCCTCTTTTAGAGTAATATACAGAAACTTAAAACTGGCCACTTGCTCCACTTGGTCTCCATTGATAAGCAAGGGCTGGATGTCTGATCTGTTCCTTCTATAATCCACTATAAGCTCCTTGGTCTTATTGGTGTTGAGGACCAAGTTATTGTCTCCACACCACGAAAGCAACCGGTCCACCTCATCTCGGTAGGTAGACTCA